GGACTCCAGAGCAGGATGCATTACTCCAGGGGGGGGTCTCAGCAGAGCAGAGTAGAGGGGCAGAATCACCTCCCTTGACCTGCTGGCCACACTTCTTTTGATGCAGCCCAGGATCCGGTTGGCCTTCTGGGCTGCGATTGCACATTGCTGGCTCATGCTGAGCTTCTGGTCAATCAGCACACCCAGGTCCTTCTCCTCAGGGCTGTTCTTCAGCCATTCCCCGCCAAGCTTGTATTTGGGCTTGAAGAGAAATGCCAGTTTCTCTTCAGGGATAGTCAGGGGAGTTCAGATGACAAACTATGATGCAGTAATCTGTGATCCCACTAAAACTTTCCTTGTTAAAAGCCAGATTAAAGTTTAGAATTTCTGATGCATCTTAGAATGCAACCCCCTTTTGAGTTAGATACTGAATTTTCAAGTAAAGATGGGGACAGAAGTGTAGAAGAACGACTACAGTCGATTAGCACAGAAAGCTAATGAAGAATGGATTGGATTACCTTTTCATCAAGCTGTCATTTTACTAATTACACAAACAATTTGTGTGTATGCTCTGTTATTTTATAATTTCAATAGCCAAAAACTGCAACAGCAGTATTCCTGGTGAAACCCAAAAAACCTACAGTGCTCTTTGGTAAATATCAGATCGTTCCCTTTAGTTACATGTATAAATTCTTCGGGTGAAATTATCAGAAGGTATCTGCACCAAACTTACATGTTGCTGAAAAAAGACAACTGTCCAAGTTGTTTCTATCCCAACTTCTCAACCCAGATCTATAGCTTATTTTTATTTTTTTTGCATATTTCCTCTATTAAAAAAAAACTACAAACCAAACAAACAGAAACAGTTATTTTTGTAAACCAGCACTAGTATTGAATAACATTGAATAATTTTTGGAATAATCTTTTTCAATTAAAAATGTGTCTTGAGAGGTAAACAAAGCTGTTCTTAATGCACAGATATATGTTTCATCCAAACAACAGGAATCAATTTTAAACTCAGTGTAGCAGCGATTTTCTGCATATCACCAAATATTTTTGCAGATCGCAAGCTGTTGGGATATTTACTCGTACAGGGCACTTACTGCTGCTCATGTAGACATACAAAAGCCAGGTCAGAGACTGCTGATAGGGAAGCCCTGGTGAGCCCACCACTCACCGGAGTGAGCACACCTCCAGGGAGGTGGCAGATTATTTGGCTGGGTCAGGTTGAGCCAGGTTTATTAATGCTTATAAATACTTAAAGGGAGGGTGCCAGGGGGTTGGGAACAGTCTTTTTTCAGTGGTGCCCAGTGATAGGACAAGAGGTAACGGGTACAAAATTGAACATAGGAAGTTCCATCTAAACATGAGAAGGAACTTTACTTTGAGGGTGGCAGAGCACTGGAACAGGCTGCCCAGAGAGGTGGTGGAGTCTCCCACTCTGGAGACATTCAAAACCCGCCTGGATGCCGTCCTGTGCAACCTGCTGTAGGTGACCCTGCTCTGGCGGGGAGGTTGGACTAGATGATCTCCAGAGGTCCCTTCCACCCCTGACCATTCTGTGATTCTATGGGTGCTGCCGGGGCCGTGCCGGCTGGTGGCCAGGAGCTGGGCTCGTATGGTCATCACGCCGGCAGCCTGGCTGCGCTTTTGGGCTCGGGGGATCTTAAGGAAAGGCCAGCGTTTTTGCAGCTTGGCAGTGGAAAGTCCTCTGCTGGTAATTAAGGGAGATGAATAGAAAAGGAAAAGCTGGAGCGCATCAAACTCGCATAACCCGTTTCAATCTCTTCTAGCTAGTTATTCCCAAAGAGCTGCAGCTAAACGATGACTTACAACTGGAGCCAAAAACTTCAGGCCTTGGCAAAGCAGGGGCTCTCACAGCTTGCTGTGACAGGAGTCAGACAAGGTATTCGAGAGGAGTCAGGAATTCCTCAACATCCATAATAATGAACATCTGCTCTTCCGCACAAACAAACAAGAAATACCTCTCGCCGTAAGAAACCATAGATGTTCTCATACCTTCAGCTCTAAGTCTGCTTTCAGGCGCACAGCTGCAAGTTAAAAAACGTTATTCTTCCCCTGTTCTTTAGCTCTGGGGTATAAGTTTCGCAGGCATCAGCCCCTGCCCCAGCACCGGTCTGGTGCTGTGGGGGACGGCTCACAGTGTCCCTTCTAACGGAGGAACAGACTTTGCAGGGGCTCCACCGCCACTGACAAGCAGCTATACTGCTCACTAATTTACACAGATATGCCTTTCTGGTTCTCACCCTTTCATCTGTATCTGGGAACTTGGTGGTACGTTTGCGGTCTCAAGCCTTCGCTAGCCCTGCACACTGCGCTGTGGTTTGGGGGAACTGGCTGGGAGGCAGAGTTTCAGCGAGCGTGGCTGACCAATGTGTTCCCTCTAGGCCAACACTTCCAAAACAAGCCACAGAATGGCTCTGGAAAAGATATTAGAAATGACTTTTACAGAAGTTACCTCTCTCCTGGCAATTTCCCTTGGTATATTTGGGCTTTGTACCTTTAGGCTGAAATACAGACTGCAAAATGGCAAATATCAGAAGCATAAATTGTGGCACTGTATGAGTTTTCTGTTTTGAGATACCCTTTCAACATACATACATGTGTAAAATATGGTAGCAAAGAACAGGTCTATCACATGTTTTGGTGCAGAAATAACTGCTGGGCAAAGCCGAACTGCTCTCTTGGAACAACTTTTTATTCCTTGGTCTTACGCATGAAGTAGGCAACAGATGCTGAACAGAGGGGTTAGTAAACTAAATGATTGCTATGTTCTTCATACAGCTAAGCACCTCATTCATTTAATAACCTGCATATTCCTTTAGATATGGTGCATCGATAAAGTTCAGTAAGGCAAAATGATACATCAAGGAGAGACAGATAGAGGGCCTTCACCACCACTTCATAATCAACCGATACATACTGCAGTTGCAAAGTTATTGCGGTATTACTGCTATAGCTATTGCTATAAACCACCCAAAATAATATATGGTCCCTCCAGGGAAAAACATTAGTGAAAATCAGAAGATGAGCCATAATTGTACCTTTGACGCAACCTTGATGTAAGAAGGTAGAAAGCCTGAACTGGTTTCTCAATTAGGTGAATTTTTGGAGAACAAGACATTGCTTGTGATTGCCTTGTTTTCCAGATAAGGAGAATATTTTAGGCTCCAACTTGCTTCATAATGATGCAGTTTCAAAAGCAATACACACATTTAAAAAACAAGAGAGAGAAGCGCAGTCCTAGGCATTCTTGGCTTCATTACATCTCTGTGTTCCTTCACCTCCGTTTCAACTGTAAAGGGCTAAGTGAGCTGATTGAGGAAGGATAACAAGGCAGATCAGAGAGAAACATATTTGGAAGTCTAAAAAACCCAGGTAACTTGGCATGTGTCTGTTTCCTAAGGTAACTCACCACTGAAAGTAGACACAGCAAAATACCGTGGGGAAGTCCTGAATCAAAATTCAGGAACTAATCTCCAATCTGCTAAACATTGCCTTTCTCACACAGGATAAACGAAGCATCTAATATTTGCAGGCACAAACAAAAAACTGAACTGTTGTGGCAGACAACTAGTAAAAGCACAAACTTCCAAGTAATTAACAGCCACCAGCATGAACTGCTGCATGATATGAACAGAATATTTTTGAACGTATTTCAGATACATGTAATCTCAAATATCGATCTACAGTATTACAAAGTAACTACGAATGCTACATGTTCATTAGGAAAAAAACCCCCAATCTTCCTTACCTGCTATTGCTTCAAGACTAGGGATTGCAATAGTGCTGTAAGTGCTAATACATTTACAGGACCACGTGCGAACTAAGGTTTCCTCTGCATTTTCCAGGCCTGGCAATTTGTCCATGAAGAAAGAGCCCCACTGTTTAGATACAAAGTAAGGAGCTTTGGCCTCATCTCCCTGAAAGAAAAAGAAATAAATATGCAACCTTAAAAAAAAAAGAAATCTTCTTTCTCTATCCAACCACAAGCATTATTTTAAGGAACTCTAGTTTTTCTTTGATTTTCTGGGAAAACTGCATTGTATCTGAGGAGCAGTGTGATTTAAAATATTATAAAGAAAAACAATAACAATCTTCCTCTCTTAAGTCCCCAAGCTCCTGTTTACACAATTTATGGATTCCCTAGGACATAAAAAGTTGGCTTCAAATATTTTTCTCTTAAAAAAATCTCTTTTCCCCATTTTTCTGTTTTCAATAGCGTGAATAGCCTGCTGCCTTTCTCTGCTGGAGAAGCTGGGTAGCTGTGGCACAGACTGTAACCCAGCCTGGAACTCCTCCCAGGAGAAAGGAGTCTCCCGGTGCTGGATGGAGTCACTGCGAAGGATGCATCATGCCACCTGTGTCGTGTCATCTGTTTCTGAGCTGAGGAATGAGTGAGAACAGAGCCGCAGGATCCATGGAGAGCCATTCAGTTGCCAAGCAAATTGTGAAAAATTGTTTTTTCTTCATGTACATTTTCAGACAACAACATGTAGACTCATTATGTTCTAAAGAAAGCATTAAAGTAGCATTGGGAAAACTGATTTTTTTTTAGCAGTTCATCTTGAAACCCACTATATATTGCCATGAGCAGCCAGAAAAAGCTCCAGGAGGCCTCTACAGAAAGATGAAAAAATGGAAAACAAAACTGTGAACTATATAAAATCTGTTAAAGTCATTTGTGTGCAAAGTATCTTTTCAGACCAGCAAAGCATAGAAGAACAGATATCCTAGCGTGTGCCTCCAGATCCACGAACTATGTACTTTATTTTCCATTTAACCGCTTTCTTAATAGTTTTGAGTATCTGCTGGAATAAAATGTGTTTACGACAGAAGTCCATGGCTTTTGATCACAAGAAAGCTGTTGATCCAGCTGAACAGACCACGTCAGTAAACACAGAGCCATTCTTCTTGTGATTCTGCGTAACAGTTTTTTCTCTGAGCATAGCTGGGGGTGGGGAGGAAGTATTGATTTGACTTGGAAAAATATAGATATTGGTTTCTGTCTTCTGATGTAAACAGGTTGGAAAAAAAACCCGTATCTTTTGTTTCAAAACAAGCAGTTAACTTAAGAGGTGGGCTCTTTTGTGGTTTGGTTTTTTTTTGCCTCACAGACAGGGACAGCACCTTACTTTACTTTTTGGCCAAATATTGTCTTTCCATGCAAATCCCAGGACTTGACATCAGTTATAATTAAATGTAGATGCTATGATGAATTAAAATCCATTTGCCAGCTGGATGACACATGCAGAAAATTCTTAAGGCCGTTACAGCTGTTCAGGTGATTAATCAAAACAACCCCAGTACTGGCCCACATAAGCATTTGCACAAAAGACAGAGCCTTGTTTATTGACAAGAGAAAAAAATCTGAGGTTTCTGCTTTTTAAAATGTATGATTGGTTCAACAGGCAATTAAAACTGCAATCTCAGGAAATTAATTGATTTTTTCAGAGGTCGGATTCTCAGAGTGGGGATTTCTTCCTTATTAAGGAGTTACATTTTGGATTTACAGCCCAAGCCCTTAGTAAAACCAAACCCAGTTAGATATGAGAGCTGTCACCATGTCACCTGGTAGAGAACTCCCATCATTTTGCTACTGGCTTATCTCCACATGACAGGGGTGGTGTGGTAGGCTAAATCTTGATCTCAAATCTGAAAAGAGCTGTCAAAACTTTGCCCACATCCTTAGGACGCATCTGACGTCACTTCCCCTACCATCCCTAACTGATGTCTAGATGTCCATACCTTATCTGCAGCATACATAGCCTGCAATGAAGGACAGACCATGTACCATGAATCTATACATCTGTGAAATGAGGCAAAAGTCCCCTATCAACACTGCTACTCCTCATGCGCCTGGAGGCACGCATTCAACAGTGGGGCTCAGGAGCTCTGGAAGGTGCACCAGCCACTCCTGTAGTCCCCAGGCATGGGGTTTGCTCTCGCAGCAGGGCAGTAGATCCTGGGAAGAGCTGAGTAATGCCTCTTTCTTATGCAAAACCCCCAAGCATGTGGTGTTGCTCTCAGGCATATTAGTCAGACAGTAGCAGGTCAGATGTTGATTGTGTCAGTTGAGGGTACAAAGCATCCTAGAATATGTCTGGACTTCAGAGAAATAAGCATGGTACCGGCATTCCCCAAGGCCCAGGGCTTCCCACTAAGTGAAACCACCTGGAATACTTACTATCACCTTTGCTTTATTAACTGCAGGCAAATAGGGCCTGTTAACGGAGCAGACAATTTGTTAATAGGACCCTTGGGTAACACTGATTTGTCAGCTTACAGACGACCTTTCTAGAATACAAATAGGCAGGGAGCTGAGCTCTGAAGTTTTCCTACATTTGGTAAAGAGATGAAAGAAAGAAGGCTGTAAAAGAGACAGGAGTGAAAAATCAGCTGTTAGTATTTTTTAAAGGCATTATTTAGGTGGAGATTTGGCATCTATGCCATCGTCTTTGTACCAAGCGCAGAGCACTAAGATTGCTTTACTGCATCCAATACAACGGATGGTACCAATGGCTGTATGCTTTGGGCCAAGGCAGTAACATCACCACTGACCCTTAGGACCAGAAAAAAAAAAAAATCAATGTTCAAAATATGTTTTTGCCAGTGTAACGGAAAGTATTTGAGTTGTTTCTGCCAGCACAGCTGTGCTGGTCACAACAACCACTTGTCCCTGAATAACACAGCCACACTGGGAGTGCAAATGGGCAAGCCTGCCACTGCTCTGACTTTTGCACAGAACCTGCCCCCCACAAGTCGCGTGCACATATAAAACATTTCACTCATAATTTTTGTAGCTAAACTACAACATGGATCACTATAAGCAGACTTCCTTTAAAATAAAATGCATTTCACTTCAGGATATTGCTTTAAGGTTATTGCTTTAACTCACCAGGCTTCACAACAGCCCATCAGGTTGTTCCTGAAAGTACTGTTAGATTTGTGTTAAAGATAAACCAGAATAAAGAGACAAATAGAGCCAAAAGGCACAGAGTAATTAGCCCTTGTCTAAGGTCTCGCTGAGGGAGTCAGGGAAATGTGGGGAGGTTAAGGGCTCTAACCCCCCCCCAACAAACCAGTCTCTAGGCAATACTGTAAAACAGTTTTTCCTTCTAACTGCAAAAATATCATCTATATCTGCCAATAAATTCTTCAGTTTCTACTCCATTCATTCCTATAGCCCAGGGTTTTTACACACTGACTAGCTCCTCTGTAATAATTTCCCTCAAAATCCTGGGACAAATTCCAGCTTTTCTTTCAGTTTTCATTGATAGAATTGATCACACATTTAAAGAACAGAAGGCAAAAACAAAGCCTCCAGCCAGGCAAACAAACCCCCAAATCTGGGGGGAATCTTATTTCAACACAACGCTTGTTTTTTTTTCCCCCCCTGCATGCTGCAATTCACTTAGGAGCCCAGTAATTGCATGAATAGTTCTTAGTTTGCTATTCTCTTGCTCATTTGCTTATGACTCATATACTTGAAAGAACTGCAGTTACCATAATTTCACAGTTATGTGTATCTGGCTTATATCATGCATTTAATTGAAGGGAAAAGACAAAAACTGCTAATGAAAATGGAAATTACGAGCCTCCTAGTTTGTGTGTGAGGAGGTTGTTTCCTTCCCATCTCACCATTAGTGATGAAATACCAGTCAAACAACTGAAAACGTTTTTGTAATTTATTTCTGAAAGATGCAATTGCAAATCAGAAGTAATACTTTATTTCTTTAATATTTTGTAAAGACTGATAGAAGATTTTTAATAATATTTTGTAAAGATTAATACAAGATTGCATCTTGTATTACATTTTCAGTCCCTCTCTGTATACACGGCATGGCATGGAAAATCTGCAACAGTAGTGTATTTATTTTATTGCCAATGAACGATAAGGCTGATGAACAAGACTAAATCTAATCTGTTAGTGCCTAGTATTCCAAAAACACCTGACTTTGTACAATCCTTTGAAATGGCTTTTCTCCACTCTTAACCAAAGGGTTAACGGGAGAAGTTGATTAGGGGAATGAAAATAAAACTTTCGTAGGCTTGTAAAGGGAGTCCCTTTGAACTAGTCCTGTTAAGTTAGTGGTGTCCAGTCAACTGCAGAGATATGGATGTGACCTGTTGTTCAGACTCCAGTGAGCAGCATGGTAATGAAATAACACCCCTGACCCGCCACGGCCCCCCTGGTTCAGGTTCCTTTAATCAACGCGATTCATTTCTCCCTTGCTTGCTTGCTGTCAGGGGTAGCGGATGTAAACTGAACAGGGGTTGTGCGTGGCAGGGGTGGTGTCCCCCCGAGACACTGCAATCTCTTATCAGGAATACCACAGCCTGAGTGAAATGTCAAGCGCCTGTCTAAAAGTCCCAATTTCCTGCGTGATAACTGCAGCGATAGAGAAGATGGATCTTGTACGCAGTCGACCAGAGGCATTGCAACAAGACAAAACAAAAGCGTCATCGAGGGCTTAGAAACACATCACTCAATAACTCTTTCTCTGTACTTCCAGGAAAAAAAAATAAAATCTGTCTGTCTGTTTAAATAGGTGTGCATCCAAAGCATATATTGAACATGCTTAAGAAACCATGGCCGAGTAAAAAACCCCAAACCTTACAGAGATGCAAGTTCTACGCAGCAATTCAGCAGAGTCTCCAGTCAGAGAATGAACAAATTTATGGATAAGAATGAGTTATTTTTATAGCATTAAATAATTAAATCAAATTATATTAACCTATGTAGCACTACTACTCCCTCTTCACACACCACACCCCCCCGCCTTCTTACTGAGAAACACATTTTTCTTGATAGGAGAGTTTGTTTGTCTTCGTTTTTGTTTTTTCTACAACCCAGGAAAAAGCCTAAACATTAATTTCCTTATTTCAGTGACTGAAATGTCCTTGTCTGACCTTAGTTTAGAAATCAGGATAGTGGGGGAAAATATTAGCTACGTCTCTTAAAAAAAGTAGAGAAATCGATGTCACATCTATATTGTTTTAGTCCCACTGAAGATATCTTTTTCTCCATAAAAAACAGGGGCTTTTAAAATGCTTCTTAGTCAGATTAAAAACATCTCTAGTACAAAAGCACCCCACAAAAAACTTCCTATCAGTAAGCTAACTTTTTAATCGCAAAGAGTAATTATTTAAAAAGAAAAAAAAGGTTAAGTGCTTTCCAAAGCAAAGTGCAAAAAGCATATATATGTCTCTGCAATTAGAAGAAAATGACCTATTTATTTAGGAACATAAGACAAGAAGAAACACTGCAGATGGAGAGTGAGGTTGCACTGTAGTTCCTACATAGGACACACTGGAGGTCCAATGCTGCTGCCTCGGCCATCCGAGCACCATTCCCTGTCTACTTTGTTCTTTGGCAGCAGAGAGAAAGATAAACCACAGTAACCTTCCACTGTCTGTGGGGGAATTAGAGTGTGGCAGTTGTGCTAAGGCCTTGCTTCCCAGCTGCGATCAACCCGAAAATTGCATTATTTATCTGAGATAACTATCAGTAGTCTGCATTGGACCAGACTTCAAAACAGTCCCTCTTATCTGGGCCCAGCTGTCACTAAAATAAACCACCTATGAGGGAAGCAGCAAATTGAAAGTTCTTTGTATAGAAGGAAAGTACAAGCAAACTCTATTTCACAGAGAGAGAAAGAGAGCTTTAAAACAATCTCATAAAAATTCCTCCGTGTCCATGACATGCAGGGAAATGTCATGAACTCGGCGGAGTTCAGGAGCTGGACTTGTGATAAGCAGCCATGAAATTTCTCCTTGTGGGAGGCAGGGCAGGTTCCTGTTACTGAAAAGAAGACTATGGTTTTTGGTTAAGGGACTGCACATACAGCTCTTTTTCTGAGGTCTGCGATTTAGCTGCAGGTAGAGGATCTGTGCCACCCGTTGCAAAGCTGAGCTGGGACAGGCGGCATCTCCCAGTGTGGGCAGGAGGGTACCCCTGTGAGGGCTACGTCTGTGAGGGATGCTGATGCTGCCAGCAGCCCGGTAAGATAAGCAGGCTCATTCTCAGGGCAGGTGGCATGAGGCTTTTTTGTAATCTACTTTCTTCCGTTCCAGGAAACATCTGCAAGGAACCCTTACCTCATATTTTCCTTTCTTCTCCAAGGGCTCAGATTCAGTCTCCACAGGCACCGTAACTTTGTCCTCTAGAAGTTCCTCTAAGATGAAGACAGTTTCCCAGTTGCTATAGTGACGTGCTGGGAAAATATCTGAGTGCATGCTGTCACCAAAATAAACAACCTACAAGGGAAGCAGCAAATTAAAAGTTCGTTGTACATGAGGAAAACACAAGCAAACTGTCTTTCACAGAGAGAGAAAAAGAGGTTTAAAACAACCTAATAAAAATTCCTCCATGTTTACAGTTGGCCGTGACACACAGAGATCTTATTAATGTCACAGTTTGGGGTTTTATCTTTAACCAGGCTGGCCCTGCTCACCCTCCTGGCTCTCACCCTGCAGGGACGTTGCACGGGGATGCCTGGCTGGGACTGGCAGGCGGGACGCTGCTGAGATTTTTGACTGACAGAAATAGCCTGCCAGGAAGCAGTGGAAAAGACTGCCAAGAAAA